AAATATTTTGAGCGCTAAAAATGCTACTTAGATTATCTGCACATGCCTCCGCTTTTTTAACTTCCCGTAGGGCAAGTTATAGTAATCGCAAAAAAATCTAAAATGAAAATTTTTATATATCTTTACGTTTGAAAGGTTTCTGAACATTTTGGCATACCTTAAAAAAATGGATGTATGTGTGTGTGTGTGTATGTATGTTTTTTTTTTTTTTTTTTTTTAATATAGAGAAGGAAAAATCTTTCAAAGACACCGTGTGTTTAAAAGATGATGGACGGTAGTGTGGGATTTCCACCCACTAAAAAACCTCCCCTCCTCATTTCCCCGCATATGATCACGGGGAAGACTGGGTCGGAACCGCGTTAGCATTACTTCAACCCAGTCCGTGTTGCGTCACGTGACGTTAGCTCCTAAGTTTATTGGTCCCTCTCGGCGATTTTTGCTGTCAAGAGGCGCCGTGCATAAGCTGCTACCTCGGCCCAGTTTTCCTTGCTTTGCAGCATGGTATTTACAATGTTCTGGGGATTAAGGGCCCTTCCCAGGGACAATTCGGTGTCAGCCCTGAAGTTCTTCCAGCGCGTGCACTTAAAAAAGGTGTGCTCAGCATCGTCGGCTTTTTCCGGACAGTATTTGCACGTCGGTGATGTGTGCAAACCAAACCTGAAGAGATATGCATTGAACGAGCCATGACCCGTCATCATCTGAGTTAGAAAGAAGTCTGTTCGCCATGTTTCCTGGCGAGCCAGGCCTCGATATTAGGGATCAGACGTGCTGTCCATCTACCACGATCAGATGCCTGCCACCTTACTTTCCATTCCTTCAGGGTGTCCTTTCTCACCATTGCCCTCGCTTCGCTGGCATTGAGGCCTCCTTTTTTGAGGTTATACAACCTGGCCCTTTCGATCGCCAAAAGGTCTATAGGCGGAGCTCCAGCTATAACAAGCACTGCGTCTTCGGAAACTGTGCGATAGGCACAAGCCACTCTAAGTGCTCCTCGCCGCTGTACTGCTGCCAGTTTCTTACGATACGTCTTCTGTTGTAATGTATGAGCCCAGATTTCCGCTCCGTAAAGCAGGACTGAGTGAACCACCTCCAGGAGAGCTCTCCTCTTTTTGGCACGTGGGCCGATAGTATTGGCCATGATTCTCGATAGACTAGACACAGTCTTGCTAGCCCTTGTACACGTGCGTTCCAAGTGTTCACGGAATGTCAGCTTTGCATCTAACTGAACGCCCAAATAGCGGACTGACTTTGTAGACGTCAGTGTTAGTCCGTCGATGGTTGTACTAAACGGTTCTGGGAACCATTTTTGGCGTGTTAGGACTACCATCTCCGTTTTGTGTGTATGTATGTATGTATGTATGTATGTATGTATGTATGTATGTACGTGTGTGTATGTATGTGCGGATACAAATTTTCGTCGACGATTTCGGGAACGCGGATCAACCGATTTGAATAATTCAAAAAACATTCGATTCGTATTGATAAGGAGACGTGCTGATTAGTTTTTGGCAAAGGCAGGTCTAGCCGTTCCGAAGATACGGGACAAAAAGTGCCGAAAATGGTAACTCAGTTTTTAAGAGAACGGAGCGTCCGATTTAAATAATTCAAAAAACATTTCACTTGTATTGACAAGATGAAGAATCGATAAAATTTTCATGAAGGTAGGTCTAGCGGTTTCGGAAATATGGAGGAAAAAGTAAAAAAATGAGCCATTTGGCGGTCAAAAATGATCATTGGACATATGCACATCAAATTATCAAATATTTTATAGAGATTTTAACAATAAGTATACATTTTGTTAACATTCCTATGGGTTCCGTACCAATGTTTATGCGTTAGACAACGACGCGGAGCTTACGCGCTTTATATTTTGTCCCTATGCAGATAAAGCAGTGCGATTGCTTTGAAAAAAAGTTCAGATCTTCCACAATATGTCAAAATAAAGATAAAAAAAAATTTTCAAAAAAAAAATTAAAAAAAAATTTTTTTTTAATTTTTTTTTTATTAAAAAGTTATTTTTTGTCCAATTTATAGTTTCTCAGAAATCTTATTTTTTCAAAGTTAATTTTTTTCAAAAATGTTAATCGTTTTTAAAAAAATAATAGTTTTTGGTACGGGAAGTTCCAGCAATTTGCCTTAAGGCACGATGCCTTAATTGCCTTAAGACAAAATTCCACTTACAGCTAGTCTTCGTTGTTTTTTGCCCAAATGTAACCATTTTGGTTTGTAATTTTCAGAGGAGGGTTTTGTGGTAGGGGTTTATTTTTTTTTTCTTGATTGGTTTCCATATGGAATTATCGTACCTATTTAGCTGCAGAATATACGATCTGAATGTACAATTTTTTTATTCTTTCATTTTTTTCCTCAGCGTGTTATTGAGATGATTAAGGGATGTTTTATTCGTTGATAGATGAGAATGTTGCCAGGTACGTCTTGCTTTTCGTTTCTGTACAATTAATTCTTAATCTTTCTAATCTTCTTAATCTCTTGCGGAATTATTAGATTATAATTATCATTTCTTGGAATAATTTTCGGGGTGTTTCACGTACAATCTCAGAAATAATTCTATTATATTTTCTATATCAATAACGCTTGTAGGCCTAGATTTTAGAAATAATTTTGAATCAAGTAAGGATTTAAATTGTGTTCAATTAGAAAGTTTGTTGTGAAGAATGTGATTGTTGTTAGCTGGAGTAGGAAATGTGCGTAGGAAACGTCAAAAGTATTGGAGAATGATCAGAAGAGAGATCGTAACTAGATTCAATATTAAGATTTGAATGATCAATACCTTTCACAATAAACAAATCTAAAAGGTCTGAAACTTTAGTAGGATCAGAAGGCCAATATGTTGGACTGCAAGTTGAAATAAAGGAGAGGATATTTTGCCCTGTGGCTGCATGAAGTATGTTACCTTTGGCTGTAGTCAGTCTAGAACCCCAGGCAATATGTTTACAATTATAGTCACCCCCAATGATAAATTTATTACCTAATTGAGAGAAAAACGAAGAAAACTTGAACAAGAAACTTTGAATCTTGGTGGACAATAAACAGCAGAAACAAAAAAAAATATATAAATTTGTTTCAACAGGAGTTTGAGTTGCTTGTAGAAAATCATCACAAATATCTGGTAGAGCAAAATGCTTTATATTACTTTTGATTAATATAGCCGAACCGCCGGGAGCCCTGCTACTTAGATGATTTGAATTATAAGTAGTGCAGTTATAAATTTTAAAGTAGGTTTTTTTCTGTGGAGTGGGATTCTGAGATTAATAAAATACCTATTAAGTTAAATTTTAAAAAACATTCTACTTCATTTTTGTGAGGTAATAAACCGTTGGCATTTCATTCAGCAATTTTAATTATTTTTGCCATTGCTTATGTTGTTGACTAACGTGGTTAACATATTTATTATAATGGTGTTCTGTTGCATAAGCTGATTGAAGACATTTTTAAATTCCAAAATAAATGTTGCTAGAGTATCAGATTCGGGATTTGAAGGTGAATGATTAGAAGCAGAATAATTGTTTTTGCAATATCTGCATACGATGAGTCATGAATTGATGGCTTTAAGGCCGGAGAAATGTTGTTTAGATTATTAGAATTTTGAAAGTAAGTGCAAAATTTTGGTTTATTGGATTTGCACTTATGACTGATTGATTTTTCTGGAGTTTTGTTTCTTTGTTCTTTAATTTTTTGGAAGTAAGTGCAGCCGCGATAATTAGCTGGATGAGCGCCGTCGCAAAAATAACAACATGCCAAAACATTCGGATCTTTGACACAAGCTTTTGTATTATGATTATCACCGCATTTTAGACAAGCATATGGTCTATTGCAGTATTTTTTGGTGTGACAGCGAGTGCATTGTATTATGTTGTTAGACTTTCTCGGTGGTTCGACACGTATTATGCAGTTGAATAATTTGTAAATATTATAATTATTTTTGTTGTTTATTTTTGGTTCCAGATCAACAAAAAACATATTAAGAGGTTCTTTTGTTATTCTATGTCTAATATTTAGGATATTACGTACGACATATCTCTGTTTTAATAGTTATAATTTAATTGAATCTATGCTGGTTAAAAAGTGTACATTTTTAAGAACAACTCTATAAGCCTTCTCTTCTTTCGATTGATATGTATGATATATATGGCGTTAGTTTCTTTTAGATGTCTCGATAAAGCTCGTAAACGGTCTACAGAATTACATAGAATTTTAAATGTATTGTTAGCTAAACTTTGCAGGAAATATTGATCGTGCGGAATTATTTCATTTAATTGATTTGACATATCATTAATATCGTCAACTTATTGGAGGGGGCTTACTAACTGGAGCCGGTTAACTAAGTTGTCATCATTTGCTGTGTTTATTGTTGAAAGGGCCGAAAATCTGTTTTGAATTTTGACATCTATTCCTAATGGTTCAAATGATGTTTTTCTTTTTCTGAAATTGACTACTTGCCATGGATTAGGAGGTTTCTTGACATCTGATTGTGGTTGAGAGAGACTTGTAGATGCATTATTACTAGATGATAATACTTTCTGCATTGAGTCAGGATCTGATGTAGATGAACGCAGCGAGATCTTTTCCGGTGTAAACATGTTGGTCCGACCTTCTTCGCGAGGTATGTTGCTATATTTTCACGATCCAATAACGGTCCTTCCTATCTTGGTTAAAATGTAAGACAATTTGTTGATTCCACAAACGCACCTTAGTGTCTCGATCATGTATGGTTTTGTACACTTTTATAAGCTTTTCATGCAATTTTAATAAACCGTAAAATTCAATCTGACATGCACAATTACTACATGAAAAGTGATTGGGCTACTAAATTGACAATGATGAAATAGGGATTTGTAGTAGGATATTGAAAATTTAGAGCCGATGTGTTTCTGAAATACATTATAAAAAATTCCAATTCAGAAAATTGGCCCCAAAATTTAAAAAAAGTTTTACGAGTGAGCAACGCTTAATTAAAAATAATTTTTTACATTGTTTTTCAGCTATTACAAACAAATTAGTTTCTGATTTATTAAGGAAAAGGACTCCAAAACAATTAAACGATATCCTTACAAATCCAGATCAGTCTAGGAAGTACAAGGCTGCATTTGATGCTTTAAAGAAAGAAAAAAGGTTAGTATATTACTTGTACTTGTATATATATATATATATATATATATATATATATACGAATATTAAATGTTAATGAATGTTATTATGGACAATACAACACTCAGATTTTTAACACATACTTTATTTAATAATTACAGACGTTTCGAGACCTCATTTTCAGTGTAATATCAAAACAGTAAAAATTATATACTAATACGTTATTTAATATGTTATTTATATTATATTTAAAAAATTTTTATTTTTTATTTTATTTATATTTGAAAAACAAAAAAACACTAACTATCTCTACAATGCTTGACACAGTACTAAACATGTGAATATATAAAGAAATATTTGAAAACATATCTTAAATGTCGAAGATGAAGGGGGGACAAGGATGGATATCATTATATTGTAAACAGATAGGAGGGCGTAATCTCTTACTAAAATCAACAAATGTGAAAACAGATTAATTTATTGAATGTCGACATTCTCCTAATCCATGGCAAGTAGTTTATTGAATGTCGAAGATGAACCTTGTCTGTTCATCTTCGACACTTAAGGTTTGTTTTCAAATATTTCTATACATGGTATATTCACATGCTTAGAACTGTGTCAAGCATTGTAAGAGATAGTTGGTGTTTTTTGTTTCTCAAAAATTAAATATAATTTAAATATAATGTTAAATATTGCATTAGTATATGATTTTTACTGTTTTGAAATTACACTGAATATGAGGCATACCATGGTCTCGAAACATCTGTAATGATTAAATAAAGTGTGTATTAAAAATGAGTGTTGTATTGTTCATATTTAACATTTAATATATATATGAGCCGCTCAGTGCACACATCGACTAACTCCACTTTTTGAAAAAACTGAGATATTAGTGGGAAAGAACTTAGTATAATCATAACTTTTAGTATTTATAATAACTTTCCGGAATAATAAAGATTAGCACCGTTAAATGTCAATTTTTTTTTGGCCATTGAATAATAAGTAATTTATTTCAGAAGCCATTTCGATTAACTCCATACTCTGTATAATGTAAATCGTTTCAGTAACGCTGTATCTGTTCTGGCCGTGCATCGACGCTTCTACATTTATATTTGAATTCATATTATCAGGGAAATTTTAAAACACAATATACATTAAATCATCGCGTTTCTCAACTTTTTGTTTTATGGAGTTAATCGATGTGTGCACTGAGCGGCTCATATATATATATATATATATATATATATATATATATATATATATATATATATATATATATATATCAACACCAAACTCACATATTTCAATATATATATATATATATATATATATATATATATATAAGGGTGGTCCTTAACAAGGACATTTTCGAATTTCTTTGCTCCCAAGGGCGCAACTGCTTCCAAATCAATAAAAAATGATTCTCTAATAGTTCTAGCTCTTTATATAAACATTTAGATGAGCGCACAGTAATTAAAAGTTTCATATATTACTTACTAATATGTGTCATTAAATAAATTCGTGCGCCATCTGTGCACCACTCAATTGGAAATGGAATCAAGATAATAATTTGAGTCTCAACATCACCAATTAAATAAATATTTTGCTGCAAAATTAATCTTGATGACATGATGAATACATATTATAGAACAGCCCACATGGATTAGAAGTTATGTGGTTTATAAATATTCTTATGTATCATAATATTTGAGTGGCGCACAGATGGCGAACTAATTAGAAGAGATAAATGTTTAATAATGTTTTTTAAAAAAGAAATTAGTTTTCAAGTTACTGGCTACTGAAAATTTGTTGTTTTTTGCGTTTTTCATCTTTTTTTGCAAATATTTCTGAAAATATGCATTTAAACGAAAATCATGTAATGAACAAAATTATATCAATTCAAATCCTAATAAATCGGTGTTCTATAAATAGTTCTACGAACAATATTAGGCTAGATATAAAAATGGGGTTTTGTAGTGCTAAAATGAGTACTTCTGCGTGTAAAATGAGTGAGCTATCATGCAGATAAAAGACGCATACAATATTTTTTTTCATTTAAAGCAAATAGTTCTTGAGTGCCATTTCCACCAAAATTAAAAATAATCGTATTCCCTCTAGAATCAACTTGGTTTAAGAGACCATGGCGGATTCTAGAAAATACTCATGATTTCATGAAAAAAAATCTATTTAAAAAAATAAAAGATACGTATATTTAAAAGGTATATAAATGAAAATTCAAGTTCTTTTACTGACCAATTATTGCTTTTTATTATTTTTCTGTTACACAAATATTGGTAGTGTCCATCCAGAGCGTCTTTCGAGTCCTTCAATCCTTTGCCATTTCAAAATAAGAGAATTTACGGTAAAATTTATGATAGAGAAAGTTGTAGCTCATTTAATTACCTTTAAAATAGTGTATTGCAAGTACTGATAAAATCAGAATTAAAAGAGTTATAATTCAATTAATCCGGTGAGTGGTGACGAAGTGCAAATTGTTTTCACTTCTGAACTTAAGATAAAGATTAGCCTATTTTCGACACGCGCTTTTTTTCCTCTCCATTTGCTGCAATAATTTTGTTGATCGTAGGTTGAATAGAGCACATGATTAGAATTTGATAAATTCATTCACTTCAAATATAAACTTAAGTAAAAATGTATATTGAATTTTTAGTGAAAAAAATTTAATTTAGATCGTAAATTACTAAAAGCCAGTTAAAATATGGTACGTGATTATAAAAATTATAGGGAACATTATTGAAGAAATTATTTTGGATAGAAAAATCCAAGGTAATTGTTTGTACATATACGAATGCTATATATTAATTCTTTCTGAATTTGTTATACCTTTTAAAAGACTTCAATTTTCAACACGTGTGTCTTATGCTATGATCATAAATTACAAGGGCAGACGATGATTTTTTGTGTGATAAATTTGGAAAATCAATGTTTTAGTCGTGAATAAACAAAAATCATTTATTTATACATTTACAGGTATGACTGAAAAATTGTATAACCCTTGGCATTAAAATAAATTGAGCGATTAGAATTAAGTTTGCAGTTTATAATTTTTAATATACAATTTTATTGAACATTTTTTAATATTTGTTAAATGGATAATTAAAGTGTTAACTGTGGAAATTGAGAATAATCATTTTATTTCAAACAGTTCTACATTCAACATCACTCATATATTGGTGTAAATAGTAATTCGAAAACCAATAATGATTATTTTTAACTGAACGGTATAAATATTAGTATAAGATATTATAAAAACGTAGATGTGTGTACAGGACAACGTCTATCGGGTCATCTAGTATAACATATATATATTAAATTAGAAATATGAACAAACTGCACTCTTTTTGCACTTAGAAAAATTTTTAGGTTTAAAATATACTTTGAACCTTTTAGGATATGAGGAAAGTTATTTTATATATAAATCTTTCTTTTTTTACTTGTAATTATGAGCTTTTTGCCATGCGCGACGAGCTGCTCCGAATCGACACCGCTCAAATATATTAACAAAAAAACATTATAAAGCAAAATTACAACATGTTTCATCTTGAGTATACTAAAATATGATATTATTAAACATTTATATTGTATAAATAAACTGTAAAAGCATTTTTAACTAATAAATGATCAGTGCAGTGTCAACACATATAAGGATTAACTATATTGCGGCTGATATTGCTGGGATAAGTTCAACGATGGTCTAATCAGTAACAATAGTTTTGGAAATTAATATTGTCATCCAAACATGTAATTTTTGTTTTAAAGTCGATTATAAACGGCTTAAGCATGCCAAACGGTCTTCGACGGATGCGCCAAAAATAGGACGCTCTGATATAAAATGATCAAGCGTTCCTCCTTGAGAATAAGAATAAAACTAGCTGTAAGTGGAATTCTGTCCTAAGGCAATTAGGGCATCGTGCCTTAAGGCAAATTGCTGGAATTTCCCGTACCAAATATTATTATTTTTTTAAAAACGATTAACATTTTTGAAAAAAAATTACTTCGAAAAAATTAGATTTTTGAGAAACTAAGAATTTGACAAAAAGTTACTATTTTTGAAACAAATATTTTTTTTTTTACAAAAAATGTTTTCTTTATTCTGATATATTTTGAAAATTCTGAACTTTTTTTCAAAGCAATCGTACTCCTTTAACTGCATAGAGACAAAATGTCAAAGCGCGTAAGCGCCGCGTCGCCGTCTAACGAATAAACATTGGTAAAGGAATGCAAACAAAATTTATACTTATTGTTAAAATCTCTATAAAATATATGATAATTTGGTGTGCATATGTCTAATGATCATTTTTGACCGCCAAATGGCATTTTTTTTTACTTTTTTTATTAGATTTACGATACCGCTAGACCTGCCTTTATGAAAATTGATTCTTGTCAGTTCTTCATCTTGTCAATACAAGTAAAATGTTTTTTGAATTATTAAAATCGGACGATCCGTTCTCTTAAAAACTGAGTTACCGTTTTTGGCACTTTTAGCCCCGTATCTTCGGAACGGCTAGACCTGTCTTCGCCAACAACTAATCAGCACGTCTCCTTATCAATATGAATCGAATGTTTTTTAAATTATTTAAATCGGTTCATCGGTGTTTCCGAAATCGTCGACGAAAATTTGTATCCGCACACACACGCACACACACCACATACACACACACACATACATCCATTTTTCTAAGGTATGCCAAAATGTTGAGAAACCTTTGAAACATAAAGATATATACAAATTTTCATTTTTAATTTTTTTGCGATTACTATAACTTGCCCTACGGGAAGTTAAATAGTTGGTATTGGTATTTTGCCTTGAGGCAAGTTACGTGAACTTCTCGATATGTGTAAATAACGAACTTATATAATCAATAAAAAATTAATTAATTTATGAGTGATTAAATGTATTCCGAGTGGATTTATTCTACATAACAAGAAAATGAACGAACTCAATAACTCACGGAGTATTTTCAAAAATCAACCAAGTACTCTATCGTTATACCAAGTAAATC